AGAGTTATCGTGTGTACTTGAAATATTTTTGTATTTTATATATATATATATATATTAATTTGTGGATTTAATGAATTATAATGAATACTTTTTGTGTACTATTTAAATATTTAATTATAGAGTTGACATCCTGTTATTTTTATTCATCAAATTTCCATTCAATTGAAATTCACAATAAAATCTTTAATTTTTTATTTTTAATATATTGTTAATTTCGTAAGCATTTGATTATATCAAATTGTGAAGTGTATTATCAAATAATTGTGCGCTTAACACAACATATTAGTTGAGTGTAGCCTCTTACTGTGACGTCATGGGTTCAACCCTTTAGAATCATCGTTTTTCAAAAATTATTATCGAACAATCAAATTATTTTATATTACTTTTTAAAGTTATTATGAAAAACTTATAGATGAAAGGTTATTAAAGTTTGATTTCAAATTGAGCTAGAGTCGGCTCTAAATAAGCTCGTGGCTCATTATATTGAATTTTGAGCCGAGCTAACTCGAAATTAAATCAAGCTCAATCAGGCTTGAAATCAAAATGAGCTGACTCAAATTGAGTATTTGAATTTGTTTTAAATCCGACCATCCAGCTCAAAATTGAAACTAACCGTCTCAAATTGAGTTATTTGGATCTGTTTTGGTTTGAAATCAGCTCAAAATTGGATCGTGAGTCCTTATATTCAATTTTATATAACATTAGATCTATAATTTTTATAAATAAAAAACATTATGAACTGTTCTCGAGTCAATTCAAATTGATTCATGTATAGCTCAAAATTGTCTAGAAAAAAATTGATCTAAAATTTGAACTCATAGCTCTGCTAGTTTCCTTCAATCTGATCTCAAACTGAGCCAAAACAGCATCCGCACGTCACCAGCGATCAGTGGCATTTACAGCCCTCAGCTGCTGACGCTCATCGCTCATCCGCATAGATTCGAGTCTACAAAGGCATCTTCTATTTTTAAAGTAGTCCTTAGCTCGCAGGTAACAGCATCCGCACGTCACCAGCGATCAGTGGCATTTACATACATACCAAACAATTTTTACATATTTACATATTCTATATCTAAATATTACATTTTTTTATTGAAATCACTGAAATCATTCATATCACATTTATAACTTTTGAATGTCTCAAATTTTTATAATATTTAGTTCACGAGTGTCAATCAAATCATTTTTGTTGAAGAATTCCGCTTTGATCGCAGGACGAATTTGCAATGTTAAGTTCAAAGGCGTTTGATATCTAAAGACATGGAAATTGAGGGGTATGCAAGTAAATCCACTTGTTATTGTAAATATTAAATTTATGGAAAGCTAAATGCCAATTTGCTGTAAAAAGAAAATACTGTTGCCGCCGCACTGTATCCCAAAAATGGGGAAAAGTTTTGCGTACATCTGTAACCTAAAAATATGTTACATGGAGGATATTTGGAGGTTATAACCGCGTTATAGCCCATGTACCTCTCTGTAACCTACTTGTATCTTCTAGTAAGTTCCGAGCTTTCGTTTTCATATATAGATAGGTTACAAGGAGGTTACAAGGGCTACAACGCTGTTATAACCTCTGAATATCTTCTATGTAATCTATTTGCGGGTAACAAATGTACGTAGTTCTACGTACGTCTTATGTACACAAATTTTTCCCAAAAAATGAAACTGATCAGTCTCTCAAATGAATTAATTTGTCATGCTTTTCTCAAAAAAACAAAAAAAGTGATTTTTTCTAAATTTCGAGAGAATTTAGTTATAAATTTTAGAAATTAATCAATAATATGATCCAAATCCAACTTTAAGAAAAATCCTTTGTTAAAGCAAAAAAATCGATATAAATAAATAATAAATTTAAGATTTTTATGAATAAAATTATCTGAATCTCACTCAAAATCCATCTTCTCTTCTCTGATCTCTCTTTTGCGGTATCCGTACTATTTTGTTGAAGTTTGGTCTTCTTTGTTTCTGCTGCTTTCCCACTTCAATGGTGAGTGCTCACAAATTTCTCTTTCTTTGTTTTCCATGATGATCTCTTCTATTGTTGCTCTGAGAAATTATTTTCTTTGCGTGATTTCTGGCTTCGATTAATATAATAACTCTTTAGAACGTCGCTCCTCAGGCTTCAGCTGAAGGGAGTTCTTTGATTCATTTGCAGAAACTGAAACACAGATTGAAATGTGTTTAATAAACAAATTATCAGTTTTCCCCTTTTTTAAATTGTTTTTTTCAGCATCATTTTTTGAGATTTTGATTCTTTTTTCAGTTTTTTCTCACACTGCGTTCAGATTAAGGATAAAATCATCGCAAATTGATTTTTTTTACCATTTACACCTTCCGCCTTTCATGGTTATAAAACAGAAAATTTGTTTGCTGGAAGTTTTCTTGTTTTTATTGCCTCAGAAAGTATAATATGAAAACAAAATCACTGCGCTCAAGAACTGGTGAAATTTTTTAGTATTTTGACATCTGCTCTTAAGCTTTTCATTGTTGTTTTTCTTGTAGGAATTTCAAACATAGCGGTCGAAACATTGCTGTATGCAAATCTAGCACCTTCTTTCATCCATTTTTCAAATTCTCCCTTGATATCAAAACTCATGATAAAACCCCAACTCATATTTTTCATTCTTATCAAGTTCTCAATGGTTTGATCATAGTACATGTAAATACATTGATTCAGTAGTTCAAAAATATCACCTGGGTGCTAGATTTTTTTTTTTAAGAGCAATGTTTTGGGGTGCTGAGTATGTAATTATCCCTTTTTTTGGGTTTTTCTACAATAACTTGGTAGGAGGCGGCTGCTTCTCTTTCTAGGTTTATGGGTGGTTCAATGAAGAGGTGGATTATGTAGATGCCATCAAATTCATGAATATTTACAAATCTAATAAATAATGAACAAATGAATTTATGTATTTACATGAACATAAATCAAATCATTGGAATTCGGAAATTTGACAAAAGAGAAAAAAAAGTGAATTTCAGTAGTTTGGGGAGAATTTGATGAGAAGAGAAAGGTGAGTAAATTTGTGTAGTAGTATCCATGAATTTCTTCAGCATTTGCTTCATTGATGATGTTGTTCTAATTCTTACTTCAATTCAACCACATAGATGATAGATACCGCTTGGAAACTCATGAAAATGAGAAAGAAATCAAATGATTTAGTCAATGTGTTCATCCAAATTTCCCAAAATTTCAATGAAATGCTCGTCTTGATCAACATGAATACACAAAAATCAAATCACAAAAATTGATATGAACTTTCCAAAATTAATCAAGATCATCAACCCATGATAAACTCCTCAAAATCGAAGAGGTTAATTACCAAAGCTAAAGTCTATTTATCCAAGATTACACATGTTTATCCAAGCTCTTGTACTTGAAATTATTTTAGTGAAATTCACGAGCTTTCCGTTCTAAATCTTCTTTTTTGCTCTCTTAGTTTCTCTCTTCTATTTATTGTAAGTGCTAGTAAAGTTCTACTGTAATTCACAAATAATGCTGGATTCAACAAAATGCCTCATTTTCTTGGCGGCTGTTAAAATTTTTTGAATATTGTCTTGAATTTCTTACAAAACATTATATATTTCCCTTCTGATATATAGATTTGTTTCTGTAAACATAGCCTTGGTGTTTAATTCTCCAATCTTTGGAAACATCGTTGCGCCAAATGTATTACAAGCTTTCCTGTCAATTACATAACACTACCGCTTTGATTTTTGGAAGATTTACATACATACGACTCAATTCCCATGCATTTGCATATCTAACACCTTAACTTCAAATTTTACATAACCTTACCTATGCATGAGAAAGTGTATTTTATCTTTTTAAAGTTAAAATGGTGGTTTTTTTTATGTGATATGAAAGAATTGGGTTGTGCAAATGTAAAATGTGAAGTCTTTGTGTCAGATATGTTAATACATAGGAATTGAGTGGTATTTATGTAAATGCCCCTTGATTTTTTTTGTCCAATTTCTGGAGAAACTATACATTTCTCTCCATAATTCTCTACTGTACATGAGGATGATGACGAAAAATATCTCCCTGCATTCGTCTGCATTGATGGTATGATCTAAGTAACAGGGTGCAATCTTTGTTTATGCCTCATGAACTCTCATGAACAATTTGTGTCTAACATGAGTTGTAGCTAAATGTACTAATTTTGTTTATTGTACTTTTGCCACTTTACATATTGCTGTTCTAATTATTTCGCTGCGCTTGTAACGTTAACTTGCATGAAAATATAGACTTTATTAGATGTTTTATATATATTCCTACCCTTAGAAAAACCTTGCTTTAATCAGTCACATGAAGATTATTACTCTATGATCTCATGATCAGCGTGCAGTAATATTTTGATGTTAATGGATTATGCGTATTCTATCCTAGCAGTAGATTGTTTATATGTGCAAGAAGAAAATACTGAATTTCTTTGTTACATGACAGCATGCATTTGATGAAATGTAATAACAAATCTAAATAATTTAAGAAAATTCAGATGCTTTGTGCTGTAAAATCTATGACTATAATCCACCATGAGCCCACTCAACCATGCGGATCCATCGCGGGAGTGAGCCGCCCTTGAATTTGATCAATTATGTTAGAGAGTAACTGCTACGCATATAAGCAACAAGTTGCATGAACCATTTGATCTTAAGCCGAATCATCGATTATAATACTTGTTGTTAAGGCATAGTTCAGATAGATACACTTATAATCAAGTCATATTTTCAAACCAAAAAATTTAAGTCGATGAGTGAGATCCAACCATTTGACATGTTTTTATCAAATATATTTTTCTGATAATCTATTCAGGGATTAAAACCAATATGGCAAGATGCCAAAATTCATTGAAATCGTGAAGTTTTTGTTAGTCTGCAAGTAATATTAAAACCTTCTAAAGTTATATCATAAAAATGTCAGCCTTACATGTCTATCTTTTTAAAAATTAAGTTTTCTTTAACAAATTATCGTTTAAGTTCGCCTTACCATTGAATGCAGAAGGTTGAACCTTTACTTTTGTTATGCCACATTAAAGTACAAAAAAAATCCTTATGTTCTAAATTTTACAAGTTCCTGAATGCATAACTCCTTCTGCAGTCTGATATTTTAGAAAATGAATCCAAAAGCCAATCAAATTGTAGCCAAAAACTTCAGCAAGAGCAGAGTCTGTCAACCCAAGAATCAAACAATGCTGGTCCACCAGTGTCAATCTGCAGTACACCGCTCACAGGAAACCCATACTTCACCTCCGTTGTTGTAAAATCTCAAGTAGAGGCGCCATATCAACTGGTGACTTACTGCATCAGACTTCTGTTTCTAGACATTACATCTATATATGATTATAAAATATAACCAGAAAATTAATCTGAAAGCAGGTAGTACCAGCATGGTTTCGGAAATCTCTACCAAAAGCTACAATTCAAGCATACCTTGTACATAAAGGAAAGACGTGGGAGATGAAATACTATGGAGAAAGCAGACTTAAGAGGCTTGGTTGTGGATGGAAGAAATTTGCGCTTGAAAACAATTTAAAAGTAGGAGATGGGTGTGTTTTTGAGCTTATGGATGATGACAAGGAATTGAGGCTTGGAGTTCAAATTCTTAACGGTCAAATTCCTGTAGAGTTCATCAGACTGGGAAGCGCTGAAAAGCCTATCATTATTGACTGAAGGTTAATCTTCTTCAACCACTTCACTGTAATATATGTATGATACTGTATTAAATGTATGATGATGCTGAAGGATTCTGTTGCTTATTATGGAGGTGTTTCTGCAAGTATGTTTGAAATTTCAAATTCGTTCGAATTCTGACTATATAAACTTTTTTTTTTTTTTCTTAAAATCAAGATATCTAATATTTGAACATATTTAATACCAACAATAATTTCTACCATTGTTTTATACACTCTCTGTCCACACTAATAGAATTAAATATATATATTTTTTGGAAGAAAACGTTGGCAATCTTTATTAATAAATGGAGTCAATAAATTTTAAATGTCAGAACATATAATATAACATAGTTGACAACGACGACAAACTTAGCCAAATGTTCTTCTCCATAAGGCCAGCAAAGCATACAGGTAGCAGGTGATGCAGAACACAAACATCTCGCTAGTTATAAATAAATAAGGCTCCGTTTGTTTTGAATAAATTGAAGGAGAAAAGAAGTACAATATTTTAACAAAAACTTTCTCAGTTTTGATTAGAATCGAGAAGAAAATTATTTATGAAAGTAAAAAATACATTTCTCAAGTAAGTTTAATTACTTACATTGGAACCAAATAACCATAAAATTATTGAGCAATTTTACATTCTCTGTAATTCTATCAAACCAACTTTTCTGGCAGAAAAATCTCAGCAAAGAAGCGTAGAAGAAGCTGAAGAACAAGAGCACTGCTGCAAGAAGAAAATGAAAAAGTTGAAATCAACGGCAAGAGAAAATAGGAAAAAGCTGTTTCCTTTCATTACAGTGAGTCTGTACAAGTTCTATACTCTGAAATAAAAGTTCAGACAAGCACTAAGAAATGCAGGAAAAATAAAAATGAATCCAAACATTATCTCAAGTGGCTTTGAATGTCTTGTGTTCTTCTTGCACCTGTGTGATTGTATATTTACAGAGGTTTTTTTTTAAAGAGGATAAATGGAGAAAAGCTCGCCACTTTCATACCCAGCGCAACATGCCATGATACTCCATGCAAGGATGAACATTGCCATTAATCGCGATGGCCTGTCTTTTAACCAGAGCTGGTTTGGTTGTGTACTTGACCTCAAACCTGAAGTGAGCGGTTTGTTCGTGCAAGCCAAAACTCAAGGATGATGAAACCTGGTCTAGAAACTCGTCTGCCACATCACCATCATCATCAACCCTTAGCCGCTGACTGTACCAACTGAAACCCTGGCCAAAAAAAGGATCGAGTTGGCAACATCAAAAAACATACATATATATTCACACAATTCTTATATATTTACATTTTTAATAGCTAAACTTGATATTTACATGCATATAATTCAAATCTTTAACATCACAAAAAATTAACACTGTTGCTAAATTTAGAAAAGTGAAATCTACTGTAATGCGTAAGTTTAAAACGCCAATGTATTCTAGATATTAATATCAAAGTTTAGGTGATAGATATGTGAATATATCGGAATTGTGCGGTGTGTATGTAAATTTACCTAAATATATATGTGTAAACATGTATGAGCATTTATAATTCACTAACATGCGGTGCAAGGCAACATTTTTTTTTATATAGTGCAAGTAAGAGTAGCATTTCAATCCATTGTTTTGTTGATATAAAGTCATTAAAAATGAAAAAAAAAAAGCAGAATAGAAGTTGCTTTCCTACCTTAAAACTTGCATCTCTTCTTTTCAAAAGCGAGTACTAAGAATGAGAATTTAGTTCCATTCAATTTTAACCAAATAAAGAGTTAATACTTGCCACACAAAAGTGATTTGCAATTCTGCAAACAATTGATGCGCTCTTAACATTTTAGTTCCATCTCCTTGAGGTATGGAAAAGTTATCCAAATAAAAGGTGATTTACATATTTTCCAGTTAAATTTTTTTATAGCAACATTATTCACATAAAGTTTCTCAGTTTGAATCATTTTGTGATACTCTAGCTACATGGAAAAGTTCCAATACATTACAATATTTGTTTTATAAAATAGTAGGAAACAAAAATGAGAGTATGGTTGTCCGCATCAAGTGTTAATGTTCTTATGAGATCATGTAAATTTAAAAGATCAAGTATAATAAAGATACAATAATTAAATGAACGTGTAAAAAAATTACAATAACACCCTCAAAAGATGGTCATATGATAAAGATATAATTCTGCAAATATAGAAGAGCTGCACTGAAGCAGCTTTCCAGAAAGAGAAATATAAAAGTGAAATCCAACGAAAATAAAGGAGAGAACCGAACCTAAGCTGTTCCTAAGATGGTAATGATATGAATAATTTATGGTCACTAACATAGGAGTTCAGTGAATACTTGCAAAGATACTACAGGAAAATAACCCTAAACTGTTCATAAGTAGGTGGATAACAGAAAACAACTGCTGGATCAAGCTCTCCTACCTCCTCGTCATACAATGGAGACCCTATAATATCCAATCATTACAATGGTATCATGGGGCAAACCTTTTGTCACATCGAAAACATAACTTCTTTGCTCTCTTCTCTTGAGTCTATCTTTGTAAGGCGTTTGAATGTCACCCTTGGTTGTAGCCTATTATTCATGTCCCAAGTAGCCTCCCTCTGGACCTTCACTATTTGAGTTTTTAGTATCGTCATGGTTGCAGCATTTCAATATAACTTCCACCTGTGTTGCTCCTATTAGCTCGATCTATTATATTTCTATTTTCAACCAACTGCGCTAATTTTATAATTTCTCCAAAGTCTCAAGGTCTCAACAGACGAAGTTCTGCATAAAATTCCCCTCCATTGCTACTTTAGAAATTCCTAGCATTGTTTGAGTAGGAGGCTAGATATTTGATCGATCGCAGGAGGAATTTAAGGATTGTTTGTCGGAACATTTCTAACTCATTCGGAAAGAACACCTACACGAGTAATTATTTACTAAGTGAGGTGGATCTCGCCCATACAATATCTTGAAAGGAGTGGCCTGTGATGCGGTGTGTTACCAATATTCAACCCATGTAATCCACTTGGTTCATAGCTTCGACGTATCAGATACAAAACCACTTCTGAACGGCCAAGACGATTGTCACTAATTCTCGTTCAAACACTGACTTTAGCTTGCTCTGACCATAAGAACCTGGCTGAAATAGACAATCAACCGCTGATCCTACATGAGCACTGCTCCCAACCCATAACCTAATGCATCCGTCTCCATTACGAGTGGTTTATTGAAATCTAGAAGTGTTAATACCGGTACCCTAATCATAACCCTCTTCAGATGTTCAAATGTATGTGTTGATGCTTCCCCCCAATTGAAATTATCTTTCTTCCAACTGTTCCGTCTATGGTCAAGTTATTGTGTCATACCCTGTCACGAACTTCCAGTAGTAGCCTATGAGCCCCAAGAATCATCTCAATTCTTCTAGATTCGTTAGTACGGGCCATTCAACCATAGCCTCGATCTTGGACTGATCCACTGCTACCCCCTTCTGGTCACCACATTTCCTAGGTACTCCACTTGTAATTGTGCAAAAGAACATTTTTTCAAATTAGCATACAACTGGTGCACCCTTAACTCTCCAGGACTGTCTTCAGGTGCCCCACATGCTTTGTCCCTGTACGACTATAGATCAGAATATCATCAAAGATAATCAAGATAAATTTCTGAAGATAAAGTTGAAAAACCCTATTCATAAGGGATTGAAATATCGTTGGTGAGGCCAAACGACGTCAGTAAGAACTTATAATGCCCTTCATGTGTCCTAAGTGTTGTCTTATGCACATCCGCCGGATTCATTTTAGTGGTACCCTAACTTAAGATCATTTTTTTTATAAAATGACTGCCAAATAAGCTCATGCAATAACTCATCAGTCACAGGAATAGAAAACTTCTCAAACGTCATTTCCTTGCTTAAAGTCTGGTAGTCCACACAGAATCTTCAACTAACATATTTTTTCTACACCAACAAAACAGAACTAAAAACATGGCTCACACTAGGCCTGATAATCCCAACCTCGAGCATCACTCGGATCAGCTTTCTATCTCATCCTTCTGAATCTGGGGGTACCTGTATGGTCCGATGCTAATGAGAGGAACGTCATCCTTCAATGTAATAGCGTGCATATGCTCCGTCAGAGAAGGTAACCCGCTTGGCTTCTGAAAAACATAAGTAAATTGTTGTAGGAGCTATTGGACCCTTTCCAGAAACTATACCAACTCTGAATCTCGAACCTTCTCAATGCTCTGCAGCTCCACCAAGCAACCAAGTCCTGCTCCCCGATTCTACTTGACAATGGTTTTGAGTAACACCATGATTTTGCATAAGCTGACATCTCTCAGCACCACCTTCCAAGCCTTCGCTTGGAACTCCATCATCAAGGACTTCCAATCCACCTTCATCTCCCCCAATATTCGCAGGCACTGCATCCCAGAATCACATTCGTGCTGCCTAAATTTAAACGAACTCTTCCACCATCTGTAGGCCATGTACCGTTAAAATCAACCCCTTGCAAATTCCCTGACTTTTCTCCATCTTCCATGTCCCATCATGACGCCAAAGCTTCCTGTAGTCACTAGCTTCAACCCTAGCTTCTTCACAACCTGATTTGAGATAAAGTTAGGTGTGGCTCCGCCATCCACCAACACCACAATTGGTTGTTCCCCGATCCATCTCCTCACTTTCATAGTGTGATTCGGGGAAAAATCTCACCACTGAATTGAGGATCACCTCCGCCACATTCAAATGCAGATGCTCCTCCTTCATTGTTTTCTATTCTGATTCATTACTCTTTGTATCCTCCTCCTAAATTAAAAGAGTATGAAGGGCGCGCTCCTTGTAACGATGTCTTGAGGCATATTTCTCATCACAATGTTAGCAAAATCCTTTGGCTCTTCTGTCATACACTTCTGCAAATGTGAGACGCTTGAACTTACCCCTGAATCAGGGTTTTGTACTCTTCTCCTTTAGCGTATCTTTCTGAAATGACACTGTCTGAATCCTCGGTGTAGTGGCTGTCACATTGCTCTTGTAGAATCCCCCGGTGTTGTTGCCTTTGTCGGTCTTCTTCACTTGTTTCTTATCCTCCATCAGCTGGGCAAGCTCCATCATTTCCCTCAATCCACGCGACCTTAAGAGGCGGATGGTTGCTTTTATGTAGAGCTTTAGACCTTTCAAGAAGTTCCCTTCCAGTCCTGTTGCAAAAATCCCCCTCAGATTCCCTGATAAGAGCTCGAACTTCTCTCAATATTCCATAACTGTCCCCACCTGAGTCAGAGTATAGAATTGTTTGTGTTGGTCTCCTTTCTGAATGGCTCGGAAATGCTCCAACAACCAATATCTTAAACTTCTCCCATGAGTGCATCGGATATCTTGCCTCATCCACTAGAATTATGCGAAAGCCTTCCCCTCCAAGCATAATCTCGATGTCATGAGATTTTCTTCCTTAGTAAACCCGTTGATTGCAAAGTAACGCTCCATCTAATACACTCATCCATGTGCATCCTCCCCTTTAAAGATCAGCATCTTCAGCTTTCTGACCCTTGCATCTACACCACAACTTCCTCTCCCTCCGGAATTTCCCCCCATGCATCTAGGGTGAAAGTCCCTCCTGCAGTCATAAGCATATTCCACTTCTGATTCCCTCCATCCTCCATCATACTCTGTCGTGCCCCTTCCTCCATCCCTTCTCCAATTTTCAGCATTTCCCCCTCCATCAAAAGTCTCCACTCCCCTTCCTCTCCGAGTCCTAGGGGGACACTCTTGTAGGTCGATGATGTCTTCTTCGTTGTCTTCTCGCTCGATTTCCATTCATTTTGACCTGACTAAGAATTCCTTAATCAACCCTTGGTTAGGGTTTGCAACTGGAGCAGTCTGCATGGCCTTGGATTGCACCTCTATGAGGTTTTTCACCATCTCTCACATTTCTCCTATGTCTTCAAATCCATCATTCATTCAACTTTCAATAGAAGAAAATATGTTCTCCATGGTAGCGAACCTTTCTTCAATTCCCTATTGGATTCACTCTACCTCTCCTTCTAGCACATCAACTTTCTTTATTGTCATCCCACCAAGATCTATGCACTGATACCAATTTGATACGCCAAAACACCAAAATCAGCGAACAAACCACACGAAACGGCAACATATAGGTGAAAGAAACACAAACAAAGGGCTGCTCTTACAACAATCAAAAGAAAACAAGCAAGATACATGGTTGATCTGCTTTTGAGAGGTAGATCGGCTCTCGCACACCTTAAGCATATCTAGGAACTGCACAAGAAGAAAATAAAACAACATTCACACAAAAACCATACATAAATAAGGCAAACCCTAGGTTCTCCCCTTAATAGAATCCCCTCCCAACATTTCAAAAACTTTCCTTCATATTTTCCCTCCAAACTCCCTTAATTTTTGCTCCTTGCATAGGTGATTATGGCCTTAGTGGACCCCACTCTTCCCATTCCTTCTTTTGCAGCTCCCTCGTTCGCCCTGCTCCTTGTCGCCAAGATCGGCTCCTCTATGGGCCGGTTACGCTACCTTCAGCCGGTCTAGAGAGGACCAGTTTCCGTATATGCATAAGAGTCTTATCTACAATCCAATCCGTCTTCTTAAAATTTAACCCTCAAAGTTGTCAGAACAATAACAAGAGCACGAGGCATCAAAATTTCAAAGCCCACAAGAATCAAGGCATTATATACGAATAATAATAACTTTTTCGAAGGCCGCGCTCTCGAACCCAATATAAGGATGCACGGTCCCCACATACTCCCCCGTCAAACTCACAGTCAAGCTTAATTGGCGAAAATGAGGGATTTGAGATGACAATTAATCGAAACAATCAAGCTCCACATCATAAAATTTATGTGAATCAGAATTTACTTTGTGTGATCTACATTGTTTACATCATTTTAATTATATTACAAAATCTAAATCCTAAATCATATTGCATCAATATGTTTAGGTTATCAACATCTCATATATATTTAGTTCAACTTGAATCCTCAATTATAACTTGACTCGGGAAAGTAAATAAATAAACTTGAACAACATTTTAAGGCAAGGTTCATATTTAGGTTCAACATAAACTCAATAAAAATATAAGGAACAAGATTGAACCAATTAATTCTCAAATTGACTCATTTACAGCCCTACCCACCAATGCTCTGATCCCATTTATTTGATAACTCCTATAATGACAGCAAATAACTAAGAAATATAATATATTAGATAATATTCTTTCAGGAGAGGTAAGAAGAGTGAAGGTCTTAGCAGAAACAGGAGACACTTTGTCTTTCAACAGCAACCACAGAGAAACACGCATCAATAATACATTCGGTGATGTTAATGATGGAAACAACATAGATGTCGTGATTGTTATTACCTCATTTAACAATAAAAAATCTGATAACAATTCTCCCAAACTTGTTTAATCCCAAATTTACAAAAAAAAAAACATAGAAAAATAGATTATTAATTCAAATTATTCAAAATTTTCTTGTGGATAATCTAGGGAATTTTTTAAGAAAGTAAACTACATATCTTAACAATAACAAAGCTTGGCATTTAATTTATTAATCTTATATTTGAGAAAATCATCTATGTGCATCATTCCCTCTCAAGAACTCATGAAGAATAATTGAGGCTTTGAAGTGCCCCAGTGTGTCACTGATAAAAATGTTCAAGGGTGGAAACCTACATTTTGCATCGCTAGCATGTCCCTGTACAAGACACTATCACTTGTCTTCATACATACCAAAAATTCTCATGAATTTACATGTCTAACACCTAAATTTTGATTTTTTGCATTTCTAGCACTCAAATCTTTCTTATCACATAAAAAAATACCACTAACAATAACTTTTTAAAAATTACAAATACCTTTTCATGCACAAGTAAAATGGTATTCATGAAATTATTAAAACTTCGGTATTAGATACATAAAAAACATAGAGCTTGTACGGCATGTATGTAAAATTTCTTTATACTTGAAATCAAACTTCTACCATTGAAGATATTTCAATTATTGTCGTCCCAAAATTAATAACCAAAACTATTAACTACATTTCCAATAAAATAACACTGGATATATTCCTGAGTACACAAGAAAGAAAATTTAAAACCTTTGAAAATGAAATACATTCCTTCATGCTACCCATGGTAGTTGTTCCCCCTATTAAAAGGTTTGAACATATGGTGTCATATTACATCTTTCTACTATTACTTTTCAAAAATTAAAACAAAAGAGCAAAAGATATTCTTCATCCAAGCACTCAACAAATATTAGATTTCTCTTTACGCACGGAATGTGTGCCTCATCTCAAGATAGTCCCATTTGCATTTAAGATTTACACATCACCAAATTTGGTAATGCTCAAGGCCACATCATCAACAAAGCAAACTTTCTCATAATTTTTGCAAAATAGTTAGACATATATGCCTTTTTATGTGAAGCAAAAAGTCAAGTTGAGTCTAAGATTGAAGACTCCATGAATCCAAAACTAAAATACACTTTGGCCAAACTTATCTATTAACAAAAGAAACATCCGTGCAATTTATTGAAACTTATGTATTTAAGCATGTCAAGATTAAGTTGTTGGGAATCTGACAAAAGTAAAATAATGGGTTATACGGTTCTGTTGTGATTTTCAGTATTTTGGTAATAATTGGAAAAATGGATGAAAGAGGACCTCAGTTTCTTAAATAATAAAGTTTCAAGTGTTAGTATATAATTACTTAATATTATTGCAAATAATTATCAAATATTAATTGTAAAAATAAAGTGCATTTGATTCACTCCAAATTTATCAAAATTAATTTGGAAATAAACTTTCAGACATACTACAACACACCTAGGCTTCATTTGAGAAGGGGATGAAGCTCTGTTCTATTGAAGTGAATGTAGGAGCCTTGAAAACCTTTTGTTTGATAAGACAGCGTCTCTAAAATATTTCCCGAAGTTATTTCACAAGAACTGCAATTTTTCACCATTTCAGAGCAGCTGGCTTTCTCCGTTTGGCAAACGTGGCTTTGAAAAAGTTTCACACAAGGAAGAAGCTCCTTCAAACAAAGCCCTAATATATCAAATCCCTCGCCTTTCTCCAGCTCCTCTCCTACACAAAACCCTCAACAAAAAATGCTCGGAATTTGCGACGGGTCAGAGGCATCGCAACGCTGAGTCCAAACCTAATGTTTCCCCCCTTCCTCTCCTACGTAAAACTTAAACGAAAAGGAAGAGAGGACATAGCAACTGGAGCTTGCAGGGGAACGCATTCATGGATTTTCGTTCAACTTGTCAAAATCCCTAAAATCCACCTAACTTCCAAAAAGAATTCACTTGGCCTGTTTGACCATTTGACAACATTTCAGGTAAGGGTCTGTTTGGGGCAGCTGTTGATTATTTATAATCTGATAATAAACAGATTGTTCTAATAATCTGTTTATTATCAGAATAAGCTGGTTTGTTGTTTGAGCCAGCTTATTCAGAACAACTTATTGAGAGCTATTGTTGGATAAATAACCATTATGCCCATGTTTGGTTAAGTTGTTTGCAACAAAACTAAAATAAGAACAAAAATATATAATACAGAATCCTAAAATCATCACAAATCAATTCAAAAGATGACATACAGTACTCACATTCTCGTAAGTATGAGAAGAAATAAAAAAAAGAAAAAAATACAAATACAATTACAACGAGAAATATTAAAATATTCAATTTCAAACTCTAACTACGTCTGTCCTCAGCTGCACTGTCAACCTGGGAAATCATCGAATTCCCATCACTGCTGCCAGTGTAACATGTTGGACCGTCAACCCATCGAAAGAAACAGCAACGAGCTGAAACACCATTGCGACAACCGTATAACTTTCTCCCACTGCTGTGAGACTGAAGTGACATGAGTAACGGAGCCGATAGTCCGCAGTAACACAAAATAACTCTATTTGTTGTTGAAATCCTAGAAGTCATGTTGTTGTAACTGCAAAATAAAAAAAACAAATAAAAAACAAAAAAATAAAATGTCAGATCCTGGAAAAAAAAGCAAAAATAAATGTTGATGAAAATGAACCTATAGTGTACGAAATAAATAAGACATGGTGGATCAGTTGTCATAGATAGCATCTGCAATAAACTCCCTCAGAGCAGTCATCTCAGCCACACCCTCAGCGTCATGAACTTCAAATTCATTACAGTCAATCTCATCCTCATTAACTGAAGGCCCAACCAAAAGCTCTGATGGTTCGTCATAGACATTCAGTTCATCGTTATCAGCCATACTAAAGTCCGTATCTGAACGTGAAGGATGTCGTCGGATGAAATTATGAAGTGTCATTGTTGCCACCACAATATGCACCTGCTTTGGAAATGGATACGACGGCATATCATGAAGGATGGCCCATTTCTTCTTCCAAACCCCAAATGTTCTTTCAATTACTCCGCGTAAAGAGGAGTGGCGTTTGTTAAACATTTCTTTCCTGTCACAGATGATGTCACTTGCTCGCTCAAAATCAGAAATATCGTATCTAGTGTCTGGATATGGCTTCAGGTAGCCCCTCTGCATAGGATATTCATCATCAATCAAATAGTATTTCCCTGTTATGGAAGACATTGTTAATGACAAATAATACATATAACTAGGACTTTAATAAATCAAAACATACATGAATCAAAATATACCTGAAGGCGGATTAGGAAAACCCTGCGATCTATTCCTAGTTGCGTAGGAGAAAATCCTACCGTCATGTGCACTCCCTTCCCAGCCCGCCATGACAAAAGTGAAACACATGTTGAAGTCACATACCGCCATAACATTTTGAGTGGTTGAACCACTTCGACCAATGTATGCCACCTTCTCGTGGCTGGGTATTCGGGCATCAACGTGAGTTCCGTCAATTACACCTATGCAGTTCTGTTATACAGCATTAGAAATTATTTATATCTTGGTGGTTAAGTGAAGAAACCAATAGTTACCTTGAAATAAGGCATGTAACGGGAATCGTTCGCGATTTGTTCTGGAGTACTAGCAAATGATGAATCCTCTGGCTTGATTATTTTAGTTGCTAAGCTAACAAGTGACCGTATGCCTTTGAAGAAATAACGGCTTATTGTTTCTGATGAATGCTGAAATCTCTCCATAGCACCTCTAATTGATTCATTCTGTGACAGAATGTATAAAGTTATAGCCAATATCTCCCTTTTCGTCATCCTAGAAGAACCTTGGAGGCCGTGATTCAGAGATAACTCGTGCAGAAGATCCATAAAAATAGGTACAGTCATTCGAAATATGTTGTTGAACCTTATTGGACGTCGAGAAAGCATTTCACATACCCATTTGTCCCCAACAAAACTGGACGTTATACGGGGAATACGAGTATTGATGGATCGATAATACTCCAACAACAATATTACAATAGCTGCAGCCCATGCCATTCTCTTACGGCGTTCCTGTTGAGGATCCATCCTAAAGAAAAAATATGTCGGTTATTTCAGCAATTATTAATACACAGTATGAGCCTGAAATAAACAATGAAAACATGAAGCTATTACAAAAAAAATGAACAAAGATCAACTTATAGAGAAGCATGAACCATATAGAAGTACATTTTAAAAAATAACATGACGACAGATAGCAACATATTAATATTGGGCCTTTAGGAGTTCATGACACAACAAAAGTTACAACTAACAAAACATAAAAAATAACTCATTCATCTAACAAAACACGCAAATATTCGACGAGCAATTCTGGCTGAAGCATATTATGTGGTTCAGTCAAAGACCTACATCCACAGAAAAACATCAAACATGTTTTATTATGCAAATGTGTAATGTTACATAGCTATGAATCTGAAGGGAAAACACTACAACATGCTCTCAGTTAACCCGATACAATCAGTGTTCCTAATTCTTCCTCCCTTTCCTCCCTTTGGTGCTAATAAAAGTACCTCAACTAACCAATAAAAGTAGCTCAACTTAAACCAATGTCGAGCATATACAGACTGAATGGTATTGAAATACATTCAAATTTAGTGGTATGCATGCCAATCTTTTTTTAAAATCTATGTCATAGAGAAGAACATAAGTCTTATTTGAAACCACAATAGATACTGCCACCAACTTATATAAAAAAAAAATCAACCGGGTCCCTTTTCATAAATCAATGTCAATACCCAAAGCAGGGCTCAAGCTAACATATAATATCAACAAAGCCAAGCTACTCATAGAGCAATGCCAATCAGATCCCTTCCAATATAATATCAAAACTAATGCCAATCAAATCCCTTCCAATAGAGCAATGTCGAGCACATACAAATAAGGCCATCCAGGAATTGTAAGGTTGACTACTTGGAATAGAGCAATGTCGAAAAAAAAATGCAAAGGATGTTATCCGTATAAGCCAAGAGAAATTCCTGAATCGCATAGAAGAGGCAACAAAAACATTAAACTCTTTAGCTCTGGAATAGTACCCATTATAGTGTGACTCATGGGACTTATCCAAAACAATCAAGCATACAATATGAAAGCAAAAATTAACCAAAGCATCGATGATATGCTCTTGCAAGTGACGCCGACATCTGACATAGTGAGGATATTCATGCTTATCATCATCTGTGATATGCACAGACAGTAGGTAATCTCAAATGCGAACAGACAAAAAATCGGGGAGGAGCAACACATACCTCATTTAAGGCAAGGAACTGTTCAATACGCATGAACTAGCATTTTACAAACATCTCTATTGAGAATGAACTAGCTCTACTAAATAAATCCACCATAACAGAACATCTGCCATTCTTGCGATATCACCAGAAAAAAAAAAAAAAAAAAATTCTAAAGTGCACTGGAACACAGATCCAATGCATTCTTAAATAATTCATTGCATTTCAAAATAATCGAGCAAAGGCATCCTCAAGAAAACCCTAAACCATCAACCGAATCTCCTAAAAAAATGAGAAAGACGTTGGCGAGGGAGAAGATCAAACCATAAAACGAACGAGAAATCATAGCAGCACATAGATCTCACCAGAGAAACAATGGAATCGATGTTCGCGAGGGAGAAGATCGGGGAGGGAGAGGGCGGGGAGAGCGCGAGCAAGGGCAGCGGAGGAATTCGATTCCTAAAAGCCAGTCGCGAACGCCGAATGCATCTCATCCCCCGCGTGCGACTTGAAATAATAGACTGCTTTTCGCTGCGTCACGAAAACGCTCTCCGAACGCGATTACCAAACAGGGCAGCGGCACCCAAATAAGCTGCCCCAGACGGGCCCTAAATCCAGCTACTAAACAGTGCAAAAAGACTTTTTTTTTTTTTTGCTTCCACTCCTACCAGCCACCAGCGAAAATCATGAAATGGCAACAACTTAAGCATCAAAAGATAAAACTTTTTAAACAGAGACTAAAATTTGCCGAAGTTGAACCTGAACTCCACCCTCGCCAAAGCTGCAAGGAACGAAGATGGGGCCGAATGGAACCTGCCCACCAAATGCTCGAGTCGGCCGCCGCGAACCGCTCCTGCCAGCCCTGCTCTTCTCTTCTTCGGCGGCTGCGGAGTGAGCATCGTACTTAAGGAATCCGAAAATTGTGGCGATCCTCTGCAGGAATCCCATGAAATCCACAGTTTTCTCGAACGAGAAGGGGATGGAGAAGATCCGGTAAAGGTTTCTCAAAAGAGATTGCTTTCTCCGGTTCCCTTCTTACATTGGTGGATTAAAAATCAGTTCTTGGGATCACGGCAACGCGCGGATATACATCGTCAATGAAAATTTTTAAAGAAGATTTTAATCTGTTTAATAGATTAAAAAATTCTAAATGCACACCACAGTTTATAAATCTGACATCTAAATTTTAATATTAAAATTTAAATTTTTGTTTCATAAACCTGAAAAAAGTAATTTTAATTTTTAAAATAATATTAATCGCATTTCTAGGTGATATGAGAAAATTAGATGTAATGCATCTAAATATAAAAATGTCGGTGTTATATACATAAGAATTGGGTAATATTAAATGGCCTTAAAAAAACCTGAATAATATTTTTATATAATTTTTATCTTTTCTGAATTTAGTTATACTGATTTTAAAAATTAATAAATGTTATTTTTTAAAATTTAATTACAAAACCTATATAAAATATTTAATTTTATATTACTGATGCTTCATCCATTTTGTTATTTATTTTTATATTACTGATGCTTCATCCATAAATTGTATCATTTTGCACATATTTGAATATATCATGCCAAAATCTACATAATTGATATGAAAAAGCAGCTAAGGGGGTGATCCAAGATACGGTGGCTGAGATAAAAAATGGGGATTTAGAAGAATTTGCATAGATTCTGGTTTTTTCTGGACAAATTTTTGAGTTTTTTTTTCTTAATTTCATTTTGAGCCCATAAATAGTTCAAGAGGAGGAGGAAGAAGATGGAGTCCTCTCGGCCTATTAGCGGGTGAACAACTAGATTTTCTATAATTATAAAGTTGTCCCTGATTAGCCAAATAGGTGATCCAGAATCTTTTTTTGCATTGTTTTCACACTTTCCAAATGAAAAAGTAATTTGTCATCCACAAATTTACTATGAGATCTTAGATTTTTTTTTGTTTGCATTGTTGTCACGCTCTCCGAAGAAAAAATTAAAGTTATCCCAGACCTGCCTAAAAGAAGATCCATGATCTTCTTTCGAGTTGTTGAGATGACGACATTTGAGGTATCTCACCTTGCTGAAAATTAGAGAAAGTGTCAGAAGTTTGAGCAAGTGATGCCGACACCATTTAAGGATGTGTTGACCCTTTCTCAAGGGCATGAAAGACAGATTGTAAAGACAAGCCACATCTTTTGTAAGGAAAGGAAGATTAATAACTCCCTTACGATTGTCATATTGTCGTTGGTGAATCAATTATCAAATCCTTCATTACGGTTTTCTTCTCCTAGGAACAACGAGAAATAATGGATGCTCGAAAAGAATTTATGAATACACAAGCTGACCTCAATCAGATCACATAGATATTGCAGGTTTTCCAAACAAACCAATGAAGAGGAGAATAAGAGGCTGCAATCCTTGGGGAGATTTCTTGATCCAAGAACCAACTGATCCTCGTTTTGGCCCTAAAAGCAGAGAAGTCAAAGGTAGCTCATATGAGTGCACTCTTGATGACAGGAGAATAATGCAGTGGATCGACATCTCTGTTTGTGCTTTTCCCACATTTTTATCTATTTATGTTGCACGATTACAGACATGAGGACATATATATGACACGACATAGATACGTGACACATCTATTATTGAAAATATAGAATACGGACACGTGTCACATACGTCTTTATAATAAACATTATTAAAAATATATGTATACACTAAATGAATAAAAGAGAATAGTTAATAACATTAACTTTCAAAAACTAAGATGTTCAAAGATATATCTTTAAATTATGACATACAAGAAACAATCATAAGAACATATATTTTCTTGTATTATATCAAAATTTAACTCTGTCAATTCATTAAAATGTTGGGGTGTTTACATACACACCACCGAATTCTTCTGTATTTACATATCTTAGACCTAAAATTTGAGTTTTACATTTATGACACCTAAATATTTTATATCACATCAAAATATTTAAATCAAATCGAATGAAATGCTTTTTAATTTTTATGCATATATAAGATGACATACATGAAAAAAAATCAAAATTTTGATGTTAGATACGTAAATACAAAAGAACTGAGTGTATGTATGCAAATCATTCCTAAATTTTACATTTTTTTTTAATTTTAATTTTAAAAATATTTTTCATAATTTTTTATTCATTAATTTAGAACTTGCATGTCAAAATTTAAGGCAATCGCCTCCAATGAACGTCTCCACTTTTGTTTAATATTATTTAATTTAGACACTTCTCTGTCACGTCTGATGTGTGTCCCGATCACATCGGAGCCATGCCTGTGTGCTATATATGTCCAACACTGCACAACTCTTTAATTAGGAGTCTCCGTGCAACATAGTTATCTATGTTTTATTTTGTGACTAATGTATTTATTTTTATGTCTTTCTTTTGCTTGATATCGTGATTTTGCTTTTGTCTTTACATCTCTGAGCCTAATTGGCGTAGCTATTTTTTGTTTGATGTATTAAAATTTGATTATGCACAACTTGATCCCCGTGAGAGATAAAAAACGTTGAAAGCATTATAAGATCCTTGAAGCTTTTGTGCCTTTAAATACTTGTAACCTCCTGAGGTTTTTAGTATATTTGTGCCTTCTGAGACTTTTTCAAATGGCCTTAAGACGAGATGTATTTGCAGTGGTATGCAAAATGCTGGATGTTTTTGTTAGAAATATTTTTTTTTTGTGACATAATGTATCTGCTACTAATTGATTCCAGAGATGTCTTCTTTGTTGACATAATGTATCTTTTGTGTGACAAATCTTGGATCATGTAGCTATGCTTTCCTTGATATCTATAATAGGCTAATCTGTTTTTGATTTTCAAGATTTTTCTAATGGAATGATGACAAATCTGTTCCATGTCCTCATTCCAACAAGATTGAGGAGCACAGAGAAATTGCATGTAGTTAACTTAGAGGAATTTAATCACAACTTTATTTTGGGTATTAAGGTAGCTGGGCAACTTAAAAAAGTTTTTTTTTTTTTGGTACTTTTTTAATTCATGTAATGTGTGCAATTTATATTTGAAAGATCTGCATACATGCCACTTATTTCTTATGTACTTACATATCTCAACACTTAAACCTCAATTTTTACATATACAACATCTTACATTTGCATGAAAAAGTTTTTTAGTTTTTAAATGTTTAAGTTGTGGTATTTTAGATGTGATATGTAATAAGATAAGTGTAGGTGCCAGATGTGAAATACATAAGAATTGGGTGGTCTGTATGCAAATGCCCCTTTATGCATGTATTCTATTAGTCCTCACAGATTGTTTTCCCTCTCCTCCATTTCCTAACCCCTGTACTAGGTCCAAAACATACTCAATTTTATTTGCAAGTGGATTTAGATACAGATTTCTTTTGTTGGATTTGGGCAGAGGAGATGCCTTTATACTTGCCACATATGCATTCATGTAAGAAAACAAAAATTCCTGATATCCAAATGCATATTTTCTAGGTAGAACCAACCAAATGGGTATAGAAAGAAAATACTGGATGAAGCAGAAAACTCCATTAATTGGAGAACTCATCCAAATCCGAATTTTCATTCTTGAGAAAAAGATCATGATCCATTTCTGTGCTGTTAGATAAAGCTTTCCCTCAGTTTCACCATAACTAGATGACGCGTCACTTCTGCTGTAATCATCTCGTCCAGCTTCGAGCTCCACTCTGTGATGGACTTGGGCATAGGAGCTACCTTCACTCTTGTCACATATGCAGGTGGAAGACTTTTCATGAAATTCACCTCTTCCAGGCCTCATCTCATTGGGCTCTCCCATAAATCCTTTCTGAGATGTGCGGACCTTTGATGCAAAGACATCCCAGGCCATACTGGTTCTATTAAGACACAGAACAAAGCTTCTTCGCATTGGGTCTAATGGTCCTCTTGTGCCCAAAATACCTCTTGCCATAGCCTCATGCTAATTCCTGAAACAAATGCCAAACACAAATAACGGATTTAAGTGGACTTAACGACAATAGTACCATGCATAAAATTTTAAATCTTTTGCTTACACCATTTAGCTCATGAAGTAGAGGATTTGAGAAGTTAGGTCGAATTAGTTAAGTAGAAAGCCAAGGTAGCAAGAGAAAAATTAAGAATGAATCAATCAGCAAAGTTTTAACTTCACGGTTTGTTTGGCAGACTCGATACAGAACTGATATTTGAAGTTTTAACTTCACCGTTTGTTTGGCAGACTCGATACAGAACTGATATTTGCTTCTTCTTCTTCTTCCTGCTCATCCTGTTCGGCTCGTGCTCTATGCTCTCGCCTGTCCACCATGGCTTCTCACTGCTCAATCCTTCGTCTACAGAAGCAGCAGCCCCTGATTGTCTTGTGGCTGGCACGTTGGCCGCCGAGTGCATGATATTTGTCTCTTCTATTCCCAATTTGGCTTCAGCAGCATGAGAAAATAATATTTCAGGAGTGGCAAAAGATCAAATTGCAGTCCTAATAAATCTCTTATTTGCTTCTCTCTTCCTTACATTCGTCTACATGGCATCAAAGCCTTCCCTGCCAGCTGAAGCGAGGGCCGACACCGTTCCAAACACGCTTCGCGGGAAATATCATTCGATCCCACCACTCCATTTCTGGTTCGCATTCTCCTTTCAACAATACTCTAGAGCTAGAACTGGGATCTTCCTCTTCTTGAGCTATCTTATGTGCTAACACTTGGAGCATTATGCACTTCTGTGATCAGTATCATTTGGGTAATGGCGAGCGGCCAAATAACAGAGACAACCACTGCAAACTGATATTTTTTAGCGTATTTAAAAGCCAAATTACATCTTTGCCAAGGCCAAAGGTAACAAAGCCAAAATGAAGAAGAAGCCTTCACGGGATCGTTGTAAGATTCTCATATGACATTCTTAGTATCCTCACAATATCATCATATAAGACACTAAAATGAATCATCGATGAAGAAGAAGAAAAAAAATGAAAATTTAGATTTTGTGGCCCGAATAACATGACTTAATATATAAAAAAGTTTACATCTTTATTTGAATGATCCCATGATATTGCTAACTTGTATATATAGAAGAGAAGGAAAAGAGCAAAAAGGAAAGTAATAAAAGGAAGAATATT